ATCCTATAAATACCGCAGCCCCTTGTGCAACAACCACCCGTTTCTGCTCTTTTGTCTCTGATGATGGATTCGAGTAGGAATCCGAAACGTCAGGCTAATAAAGCTCTTGTCCCGGCGATCGTGTCTCCTTCTTCAAGACTTGTGAAAATCTGCCTGAATTCTACGAAGACAGTGCTGCATCAGGTGGGCGCCCGAAATAATCTCGGACTTGCTACTGATGCATGATGAATGGCAAGAAAGGGGGAGGTTGAGACCAAAATTGATTAGTTGCCTCGCAGAATAAATATGAAGAGGTTTCAGGCCATCACGACACCCTAAGAGTCTAGACACGGAAGTCTGACAACTGACCAGGTAACTCTGACAGCAACAGTTCCCTTTTAATGTGGTCCTTATAGCAACACGCCCAGCTGAGAAGCACGAGCAACCCCTCTCTGTCGAAGTCTGGTTTTTGCGCGCACATAGGAACCATCACATCGTGCAGGAATGACAGCAACTCCGGAAAGGCAGGGCCTGCCGCCTAGATGGCACGCCCACTGCCAGCGGATAGTGGAAAGGCCGGCTGAGAAACTTTCGGCTCGCGGACCATGCGACTGCAATACCTTCAGGCAGGCTCGGTCACTGATTAGGCAGATGGGCGAAGACTGCCCGCTATCCGCTCGGGTTCCACCCCAGTCTTCGAGTACAATTCTTGAATCCTAGGCTGGTGTGACGCAGGGGTGCAGCATTGAGGCGTCCATCGCCAGTGCACCCCTTAAAACTGCCGTTCGGCAGCCGCAACTTGGTCGGATCTGTGAACAACCCGTGGGCCATGGTCCGCGCCCATCAACGGGACTTGTCGAGGGCAGATAAAGGCAAAAGTAGTGACGCCGTGTCCAGAAACAACAGTAGGTTTGGAGACACCGGTTTGCCTTCGACAGACACTGCACTCAGGACCAGCATCAGTCGTCTTGACTTCCTCTCGTAAGATGGTGAGCGCGGGAAGAGGGAGTGAGGCATGTGCTGCATGTCTCCTTCATTCGCCGCCGCTTACGGAGGTAGCGGACGGTTTCATCGAGTAAGAGGGAGAAACTGCAATATCATACATACCTGCCTGACTAACACAGAAGCAACCATGAAGTCAACAATATGACATACGAAGTTCAGCAGCTGTCATAGCGTGGCGCGGTGAACGAACAGAGAGCTTTCATTTTGGGAAAACTTAGTTAAGAAACGCTTGTTGTAGGAAACTTTTGCGCGTAAGGCAGGACTTTGGGATCCGCCAATGAACTCAGTAATGGCACGCTATGAAGTAGAGATCAACATTTGAAATTATAACTGAGGATAAGCGGTGGGGCATCAATTTTTCTTCAAAAAATTTGAAAAAAATCACATTTTTTCAGAGAGTAGCTTTAATAGATACAAAGCGCACAAAAATTGGTGCAAAAAGCCAAAACGCGAGGAAAATTTCGTCTCAAACTCGTTCTTCCACTTCAGGTGTGGACCCCTGGAGAGGTCACTTGCATTACGTCTTTTTGATCTATGCGGAGTGGTTATTTGATTTTATCTTGTGGCGGCTGCAAAACGTGTGAGTTTGGTAGGACTTTTATTCAACATAAGACGAAAATGTCATTTTTTCAGGGCTTCAAAAATATGTAAAATGGTGTTTAAGTCAGGATTTTGTGATGATTACGAGACGAAAGAACGGTCTCCCTGGGGGATGTTTGGAAGTTTTATGATATACAAAAAGTCCAGGGTGAAAAAGTTGATCAAGCTACCTTGGGCGACGTTGAAGTCAATAGTTGTGAATAGACGACGGTCAGAAGACCCACACTTGAGATCAGTCATGGACGGACCATCGGTAGTGTAGAGTATAACGTTTGGACCAAGTTGGTAGCGCGCAAACTCGTAAAGCGTTGACAAGTAATCCTGATCACAGGTTACGTAGGACCCATATTCATTCTCCAACTGAAAAAAAAGGATGTAAGGAGGGGAACTAGTTTTCACCTAGATCACTTCGACTAAGCGCGAAGGCCAACCGACAATAGCAGTTAATTTGAAGTGGTCTCCTGGGATAAGACCAAATAGAATTTCTGGGCGTTGCAGCATCATTGCGGACCGTAAGATGGTAGCGGGCGCGTACGACGAAAATGAGTCCGGAGCGCGCACTTGAGCGGTCAGAATGTCACGTGACAAATAGAGTTAAGTGCGCGGGACGTGTGAATGCGCCAAGGGCTTCGTTTAGTCTCGAGATACTGGACTAGGAAGTCGAGATCTCTACTCCTCTAGAAGTCCGACCTATTAGCTTAGTACGTGTGCAGTATAGAGGATTTCAATGTCGAACAGGTGGGGGAGGGGGGGGGGGAAGATCAAGTCGGCCAATGACAAGGTAGGGAAGTAGATGTCTGAATATGCACATCATGTCTAAGGACATTACTGGGTAAAAAAATGGCAGCCCCTACTGTTCAGTACATATGTGGTAGTTTCACGAACCTCTTTGGCTAAGAAAATTAATTTAACTGCGTTTACCGCATAAGTTGCAGTCAGCTAGTTGTCGAAAACACATTACAAACACTTTAGAGGCCCAAGGGCATAGTATCGAGTCGATAAGCTACGCACAGGTCTGCTTGCGGATGGCGCTCCTATCAGCAAACCGGTGTCGAAAAACTTCTTTATGCGCCTGGGGACCATTAGGACTGACTTATGTACATTCTTAGCCAAAAGTTTTACCTGTATGAGAGTCTGCATTAGAAAAATGCCCTGTTCTATTAGGTAGGCATCATCTCGGAACCCAACATGACGGAGGTAAACGTATGCTAGGTGAGAACTTGAAATACGACCACGCTGCTATTCACTGACAACTCTGGTGCCAAGCAACTGCCCCCTCCTACTGGCAAGATAGAGGCTGACTTTATAAAATCACTCGGATGTACATTCAGGACTTGTTTGTGGGGCTGGTGTGAACGCAGATCGACAGATGAGTTCCGTATGGCTTCTGTATCAAAGTTATGCAATTGCACCGACCCATTCAAAAACACCGGTGTAAAGCTACTGACTTATTCCTGTAGGATTTTGAAGTAGAGTATTGTCAAAGAAAAGACGTTAGACGCCTAAAATTAAATAATCGTTAAAAATAAAGTTGTAATGGTTTAAAAGTACTTCAAGGTTAACTTCAGACAGCCAACGACCTTACCTGTATCATGATAATTGGACCTCCGTTCTCATACAGGTATGGGTGAAGTCGCGGAAACAGCTGTTGGAACCAACGAATAACTGGTCCCAGGTACTCTGGAAGGCATATTGTGGACCAAAAATTATGTAGAGCAAGAAGCTTGCACTAGACTGATTTGTACTGAAGGAAAAGGGGGATTAAAAACACCGCCAAGCATCTCTGGCTCCAGCCCTGTGGTATATCCATCGCAAGCCATGATGACCGCCATCACCTCGAGGGTAAGGTTGTGAGTTTTGGATGAATTATAGCGAAGAACTGCGTGGCATTGGTTTCTATCCCCCTCTTCGCGCACTCACCCCTCCTCGAAGACGACCGGAGGCTGGCGTGGACTAAGTGGCGGACGAGGCTGAAGGCGCGACTACGCGTGTTACACACGTGGTGACCCCTACACGCACGTGGGTCGCACCTCACCGTACACGGATCTGACCCAGGTGTAAGGCGTCGTAAGGGCCCTAATGACGGTCCGTTTCAGCCAGATTGTCAGACGGGGGATAGTAGAGTAAGTCCGCTTCCACCGCGTGTCAGCGGTAAGCCCGAGTCAACCAGGCTGGAAATTATGGAATGGGCCGCAGTGGTGTAAAACTTCCGGCTGACGCGTGCTTTAGCCATGCACAGGGAGGCATTCACACTTGGTAGGCTTAAGTTTTTGAGAGTAGAAATTGGATCTTTGGGTAACTGACTGAACTCCCAGAAAAATATACGCGTTTTAGTGCCTGAAAGTTTTTGGCAGATTTGAATAACTCATTTTATTCGGGAGCAAAGGGCTTTAGTGACGCCTCTCACACTCTTTGTACCCTCTACTGTTTACCAGCGGCCAGTGCAGTTCAAACACGGGGCACAACTCTTTAAATTGAGACAGCACTACAAACCAGCACGTTCAGAAGCCGACATGGATTTATAGGAAAGCTGATTAATGATCGTCTGCATCGTTTATGTCTGCTGGAATTAAAATAACTGGGGCACACCCTTTTCTAGTGAAATAACTCATGTCGGGTCCCGTTCTTGGGCCGAGACCACCGCAAACGAGAAGGTGGTAACACTTTAGGCTCTGGATAGGGCAGGCGTTAGTCAAAGCACGACAAAATGCCAAGTGCTCCTTGCCAGGATGCTGTACACATAGATAGTTCACGTTGACAAAGACAGATTTGAGTCAAAGTGCACAGGTAAATTTATGGGTTTCCTGTCTGTTAGGGGGAGAAAGGGAAGAAAAATAGTAGTGGAGGGGTGGACCGGGATTAAAAACTATTTGGCCGAGTAGTATTAAATCGTTTAAGTGCTGGAAAGCTTGTGCGTAAAAGGACGACAGGTTCAAAAATGGTCCGTCTCTCGCACGTAAAAGTTAGTGGGCAGCTACGTCGCAAGTGAGCACGAAATTCTGATTATGGCGGGAAATTTACCTGGATCGAAGGAACGAAGCTTCATGTTGGGGTTGACTGACAACAGCCACGCAGGTAATCCACCCTATGAAAAGGCATCAAATTAAGGTGTGATCCGGGGAGTGACGTGTTGAAAGTGAGTGTGACAGCTTGATGTATGTGGGGATGACTTTTAGTTGACAGATAAACTGGTTAAATGGTGGTCAGTTCAAGTGTCGAAGCATGCTCAACGGAGCGGGCATAAAGACAACTGGTTATGCAGAACAAAAGGCTGAAAGAGTTAATTCAAAAGGTCCTAAAGGCTGACCATTCGGCCGAGTTTATTGTAGTAGACCTTCCCAATAAAAACATCCAAGAAACAAAGAGATGCATTAATTATGAGGCAGAGGACAACTTTAGAGGCCCGTTCTGTGCAAAGCGGAATAAAACGCGATAACTTACAAAATCCCACTCGGCACATATGTAGGGCCCGGCGCGAACAAGAACCAACAACCCGACTTCATGTGCCATTGAGATAAACTCAACTACATCACGATCCCCATAGAATATATACTCCCCGGGGGCGGGCTCGTGGAAATTCCATGGAATATATCTAAATGTAAACGAGAATTTGCAACTAACTGGCAGGAAGTTTTGAGAAAGTAGAGACAGATGATGGGTCACATCTACGGGTCTCCCGACAAAAGTAGTCTGGTTAGTGTTTATACGCACTTAGAAGGGTGACTGGGCGTATAGCGAGATACCTAGGAATAAAGAATCTTGTTCAATGGTTGTGGATAAGAGCCTTCGAATCAGTATAAATCTAGCAAGATGGCTTAGAGGAGGTATGAGGAGATTGTTTTCTAGACAGCACTATCTATCTCAATTATCAAGTCTGTGGTTGACGGCGCAAGAGTTGAGTTAGGGAGGTCCTCAGAGTTCCGTTTCTCTTGGTGCCAAGGTTTATCATGTTCTTCAGTGAAGTGCCCGCAGGGCCTATCTTCATCTTCAAATAATCAACCCGGATATCTCAACTTTGCCGATCTGAAGAGTAAACACTGCACAAGCAGATTTCACATGGTCCGAGGTGCATTTAAAACAGCGGTCTTTGGCAATCGGCATTGAGAAAGCATCTCCGGGTTTAACTGGTGTTTCCGTGTATAAAGAGAAATATCACCCCATCTAAGATGTTCAAACGTGATTATGCCTCGATTACTTAATTGTGCATCGATGAGATAAGAAGAGGTGGCTAGACAGACGAGGATCCTAAAGGTGCCATGATTTTGGTGGGAACAACGCCGAGGAGGGCAGTATACCTCCCAAACCTTAGAAAAGGTCTTATCCTAGGTCACTGACCGTCAGGCCTCACTTTGTTTCACAACTTCCTACTCTGATTTAGACAGCATCTACTCCCTCCTTAGCCATTTGTAACTTTGGGTTAAAGACCGCCTTTCAGACTTCTTATTCAAATGGGTCCAATAAAAATGAGGGGCTTTAAGACTTCGAAATCATCTGTTCTGTGTGGATCAAACCTTTCGTAACACTTCAAAGGATCAAGCCCAACACTTAGGTGTAAAGCTCATGCAAGAGTTTCCACGTGGGTCCTCTGCAATTGAAAAAAGTAACCTATATACCTGGCTGATACAATGACAGTCCCTATCAGCACGACCATATTACCGAGTCTGGCTCGGAGTCGATAATCGGAGTGGGAAGCCGTCCTTGTAAAAATGACCCCTTATGAAACGCTGCGAGTCAGCACTTCGCATTTAGAAATGACGGACTGTAATTCGATTACAGCAGACAAAAATTCAAATTACGCTACGCCATAGTGCTTCAGGACAACGTTTCTTCATAAACCCGGTAATAATTTGATAAAGGCCAATTCAGGTTCACTCAGTTATTTCTAGTCAGAAGAAACTTAACAATCAAACAAAGCGGTATTATAACGGATCAACCATCCGAGTTATTAAAATAGGGGGAAGAGATAAGATAATGTCATCTAGTTTCGGAGGGAACATACTTACATTTGGATAACGTTCAGTCCGGCAGCCTTGGCCTTGAGAAGTCTATCCATCCAGTAAATCTTTGGGATTCTGAAGTAATGCAGACTGCCGGAAACATAACGGAAGGGCGCACCATCCTTCAGGAAGGTGCCCTTCTCGATATCAATACTGAATGAACGAGAAGTAAAGAACTTTCTCGCTAAGGCAGAAGAAGTGGCGACATACCCAAAGTAACGGGCAATTAAACAAACAAAGCAGCACGAAGATGAAGCCCACTAAGAGAAGTAGTCTCACAAACAGAATAACGCGAAGCCTGGGATCAGCTTGACGGACAAATTGAGACTTTTCATTTTTTGAAATGTTCTGAGGGAAAAATAGTTCCTCCTTCATCTCGAGCAAATTCCCACAGCAGGTCCTCTGAGGCCGGTGCTGCGGTGTTCTGCACGCTGTTCGCAGGGAATTAAAAGGTAGGAAGTGTTGTCGATGATGGGTGTGAAGGGCTCATAGAGAATGAAGAACAGGCGGCGGCAAGTACCAAAACTATGTGAAAGACTTGTCAACCGCCTAACAATTAGTTTTTGAAAATTAGTTCCGTGGAAATGCGACTAAAGTTTTTGGTTTTTCAAGAATTGGAAAAAGACAGTAGAAGTAGCAAAACGTGCATGCTTCGCATGCTTGGCATATCGGCTCCCTGTATCTGCGGAATCTCATCCAAAGAAAGCGTAGCAGGTCATAAACAGGATAAAAGCACACTGTCAGTGAATGATGTACAATAAGTGTAAGCTCTGAAAAGGCATAATTTGTAGTTCTTAAATAGAAGCGACAGGATCTCGATAAAGGATACCCTTTATCGAGATCCTGCCATATGATATCAAACACCACTGAAACTTCAATATTAGGAATAAGGCTCAGAGTTCGGCCGGTCGGATGCAGGTGCTCCAAACTACCTCTTACAAATAATGCTGCATCTCGTCAAAGCCGCGTAAACACGTAGACTTAGGGTGCACGAACCATCTTATCTTAGTTGTCGCCTCGTTTGTACTCCCTGGTGGTTTGTGGTGAAAAGTTTCCGAAGCATGATTCAAAAGTAACTTGCTTATTGCAATACGAGCTTGGGAACACGCAGACCTGATAAACTACCAACGGCATATTGATGGATCCCACTGGAGCCATTTTGTGGGTCTGTGGCTGGTTTAGTGGTTGGCTGACTACTGCTTGTCTATAACGCCAAATCTGCCCACCAGTCCGTTCTTACGAGAGGCGTCAAAGGCCTCAGTGATGTGCGTACCCATTGATTGCACGCACCGTCTGTAGATGGCCTTTTGTCCAAACCTCTAATGTGCGTCGCTCTTCGAGTCGGGGAGTCGGTGCTGCGGCAAACGCTACGTGAATACACGCACACATCGAATTCACACTGTGAGTCGAGGGCGGCTAAATATTTTTAAAAGCTGTGAAAGTGTCGTATAGTTTGATAAAGGGCCGTTTCGCGCACAATGAGGTGCGTAGTACCTGGGACTTTCACGTCGACGAATGCCACAGTCAACAAAATGATTGGCCGTAGACCCAGAACGAAAAGTGCAGCTAAGAGTACGGCTACTAAGCTGCTAGCGCAACGTTGCCAGGGGATTTTAGTCACGTAGAAGTACACTACGACCTATGATATTCAACTCGCTCAGGAATAGCCCCTGCGATTGGTCTGCAACTAGATTCGCGATTGACTGACTATAAATCGGCAACCGTCAGTAGTTTGTGCGGACAAAATCCATCCAGGAGTCCCTTCGTGTGATTGGCGTCCGAGCTGTAAAAGGCCCCATTGACGCATGGAGACTGTGCCCAGTCGACCAGTCAGACCACTAGCCGTATATAATAGCCTACACATCTCGACTGACAGTGCACGGCTGGGCAGGGGATAGGACAATATTATCCAAATGATTCCAGTAGGGAACTCAACAGCAACGAGAATTTTCGATATTGGTAAGCTGTGTTAGAGAGGTACGAAGGAACCTGACAAACATGTTTTATATAAAAGTTCGCTATGGCAGGCTAACTAAACAGGTAAAACGTTCCATCACAAAAATTACGTTAGGAGGATTCCCTAATTTTAGAATTATGATTTGTCAGTAATTATTAGCTAGGATTAGTAACAAAAGCATATCTCATTGATTCCAAGAATATACCCACAAATAAATACCAGTTTCAGAAAAAGGACTCTACAAAAAAATGATATCGTGGATCTCTTCAGGGAATCTTGTCTTCCAGATACCAACCTTGTAATCCAGTAAGCGCCCCAACGGGAGGAGCGTGCGCACAAACCTTGAAATGTTCAACCACAACACCAACATTCGCCTAAGAATCAAGGCAGGCCGTCAGGAAAACCACGACACGTGCGCCTTTTCATCAATGAAAATTTTCACATTGGTGCCAGTATACGACTGGAAATTTCTACTCTGAACTGCGTATTCATAATATCATAAGCTATAACTATTCTTATATGCCTCTGGTGTCGGGCCCATCAGAAGACATCGCAGAGACTAAAGTTTTAAATTTGAAAAAAACTAAGAATTCACCAATGTTTCTCTTTGTTAGCCAGTTCTTTATGCTTTATCCTGTGCAAAATGTAATTTTGCCTATTCTTCCTTTATAAAAATTCTTTAGCTCCGGGATTAGCTGTCGCACTGCTTTTTTGCCGGTTGTTAATCCCAACATTTTAATTTTCCTATAATCTAACTCTCCTCTGGTAATTACAGTTTATCTTGCTAATGACACGTGCACTTGAGTTGTCTGTTATTCCATGTGCCTGGAATAGATTCCTGTCATGTGTAGCGGGAAAATATTGAAGTCTATAAAGATGTACACCAAGGGCGGCCACATTTTCGGCCTTCCGGGGAAGAATTAAGCCCAGGTAGGAAGTATTTACGTCTATATATTTTGAGTTCGTTTGTAGCGGCCGAGGACGTCAAGGGTAGCACACACTGGAGTAAGGGAACGCCGAGAAGAGCTCTTGGCCGGGGTAGACCTGAACGGAGCTGTTAGCATTCCTTGATAACATCCATACACAGAAGAAGAAGATATGTCGAATAAGAGATAAAGTGTAATGTGACGAGGTTGCATGGGGAAACGTATAATAATCGTTAATAGTACAGGTAGGACGGTTACATCTGTAGAATGACCTGTCTGGGTGGAGAGACGATGCCAACATGCCAGCTAGTAAACCGGTGGGGAGTGCAGCGCTGGGGGCAACTGCAGGGAAGGGTCGAGGGAGTGCCGATGTAGCGAGAAGGCGAGCGGTTCGGACGATACGTTAAGTAACGACGAGGGGGAAAGGGATCGGCAGAAGAGAGTGGAAGGGACACCGGCCATCTTCACCAACATGCGGCTACGCCATCTCCACCCTAGGTCCTCGCGCGGAAAAAGTGTCACCTCATTCGAACAACTCTGTCCAAGTTCAGGGGCGTTACACGTTGGCTGAAGGTATGGCCCTTATCCGGAATCTTCAAACCACAGTGAAAGGTCATGAGCTTCCCAAGACCAATTTTCTTATAGCTTCTGGACAGGCGAAGGTAGACTTGGCATCGCAGGGTATCATGCGTAACTGTATTCCGAAAAAAGTGTACGAGTGTGTAAGATTGTACTGAGCATATTCTAGGCGTGTGTCGTCACAATATGTCTTTGCCTTGAGTAATCATGTGCATGAATATCAGCGACAAATCATTCGCTTAAAATTTTGGGGTCCCGAATGGAACTCCTAATGATTGCCGGGCCTGCATATTGTCCGGTCACTCACGTCCATTCAAGCTGACTAGTCATCTCCAAAACCAACTTCAACATCTTGCTAAAAACACTTGCCACTTTGTGCAGAAATGACTGGCCGTAATACCTATTACGAAAACCAACCTCTTCTATCTACATGTTCGGCATCTATTATTATTATAAATTGTATATAATGTTTGTTTACAAGCAGCGTCAGGGAAAGTTGAGCGAAAATGCGACTAGCAGTGAAAAAAACTCCTGATAAAAAATAAATATGATGATATTTTTTATATTTTGGAGGGTTCAGAAGAAATGAAACTGCGGCCCATAAAATGACGACAGTCAAGAAAGGGAGGGGTAGCACTGTGTGGGATATTATCAGTTGCCATTTCTTTTCATGAAATTGGGACTGCACCAAACAGAAGCACTGAAGAACAACTGTCGCTAATGTGTAAGGAATTCGACTTTCCTTGTGCTGACACCTATCATTTTTCGTACTCGAAACCTCTCCTGAGGGTCGTATTGCATGTAGTCTGTCCGTCTAATCAGTCATTGCGACAAGATTATGCAGCTAATAACATATCATAGCTAATTACATAATTTCTGGTAATAACTTTAGCTCAGGCCAGTGGGTCCGAAAACCGCCGCATGGAAAACAATTTTACTCAGCATTTGCCGCAACTCCCCTTGCTGCTAACGTACGTAACGCACCGGTTCATCCTGATCAGCACTTTTTTCCGCCTTCCGATGCGGGGAAGGCTACTTTCCAGTCGCAGCCGCCGACAAGGAGGCCTTCATAGATATCAATAGTGGCAAGTAAGGGGCACAGTCATGTCAACAGCTCTGGCTGTCCTCGGCCGTGCACGTTGCCGACACTTAGACTGTTTCACTGAAAAAGAATCCGCCGTCATCAATCTGCTTGTCCAAAATAACCGGCTGCACAGTGCCTACGTTAACCGCCCTACAGAGGTAAACAAACCAGCCTTTTGTTGACGTCAGCACCTTGCTCAACAACGGCATCGATAGTCTATCTTAAAAGTGTTTCTGATTCCTCGTTGCTAACGTTCGCCACCTCCCCTGTCTAAGCATCTGTCGCGGTGGCTCCTGCCCTCACCACCACTGTTCGCAATATTGACGCACCGTTAAACTACAAACGCACCACAACCAACACAGTGATGTGGTCTCGGTCCGGACCTGTCCTCATTTCGATCCCACGTTTACCTCACACATCGGCCTGATCGGTTACTTGCGAATCCATCGCATAGAGTCTGGTGCACTAGCGTCTGGAGCGCCAAACTATATTCACCACATACGCCTCCACTGTCCACACTGTCCACGCACATTTATTTGCCGCATGGATCTAGAAGACCATATGCGCATTCATGAAAACTTGCGGTAGACAACTGCTGGCTACACTACACCTTCATACGTTAACCAACCAACGCCTGCGACACTCATCAACACCAACTATAATCACACAACACAAGCACGGGATTACCACCTTTCGCACAAGTGGGAAGTGTGCCCCCTGGCTCTTTCTGTGTGTGTCTTCTCTGCTGCATGTGTTATCTACACATAAGACTATCGCGTGCATCAAGCGCCGTGGTTTAGAAGGCTGCCGACTGACGCCTCGACACAGT